TTATATGCACTTTCTTAGCAACTTTCTGGCAAGCTGCCGAAACGTTGTTTTTAATGTTTTTACATGTTTTGTTTAGCGCAATTCGCATCTGTCTATCATTTGTTCTTAAATTTGTTTGGGAGTAAATGGAATTCTTTGCAGGAGCCCCTCCGTTACCTCATCCGTCCGAGTGCACGCCAGTGGAAATGCGTGGACCACCACCGGCATGGATGCCGCCACATCCACCAGATCGTGATCATGATTATGAGAATAACTACGAGGATCCAGAAGATATTAGAGAACGAGGTAGGCGGAAAAATCTTCAGAGGAATAGAGTTATGGCAAAAAAAGCGGAAAAAGGCGTACAATGGCTGCTATACATGGCGGCTCGTTGAGGCTTTGATATGCATCCTGACTGGCGCTTTTGTTATGGAATGAGTCAGACTCGCATTGCCCTTGTGCTTTTAGAGTTGTCATCACGAGATCTTCTTCTCACAACTAGCACCACGGTACCGCCGCCAAAGTATAACTCATACGAGATGTCGCTGTCGCAACAGGTTTGTTCTGATGAGCTCTTATTCTTGTAATTTTCGAACAAGTTTTGCTTCTATTCAGATAAGTGGTAGAACTAAAATTTTCTAGAAATGATGCATACTTGTTTTGAAGTGATTTTGAGCAGCCTTAGATCTCTAACGTGATGAAATTTTTTTCAGACTATAATTTGATCACTATTTGTGGCTATCCCGATGTATACATCTCATCCTTCAATCCTGTTCCATGTAATGGGTCAACTTACCCAGTTTATCCCCATTCTCCCATAATTTGCTCCTCTCAAAGTGTTCCATTAAGGATGTTGTCCAAGCCTGAGGTGAAGTAACTGGTTTATAATGCCTATGCAGAAATGTAATGGTGGCCACTTGAGGATTATACTTATTAGATTTTTTTTGCAAATTTTCTGTTTATCATTTCTTGTTTTGTAAAAAAGTGGGAAGAACATATCTTATAAGTCTTGATGCCGGTTGAAATTTTGCTTTAACTTGATGCAATAACGCCGAAGTGATTAATGTCAGTTGGATAT